GTGATTCTGTGACTTTCCCAGGCAATTCCAGTACCTGACACAGTCATACTCAATGAGCCTTAGGGTGTCCCACAAGGTCTCTTCCTAGTTTCACCRTAAATGCCACGGGTTAATCCCCCCAGAACCTTCCCACCCATGAAGGGAAAACTTAGAAAAGTTGTCATGTGCTAAGTATCCATGACAGGTATTTGTTGGGATAAAGGAATAAGTGTTTGCAGAGGGACTTACTGCGAAGTCACAGCCAGTGCTCTTCTTGATGTCATCCACTGACAGCCCTTCCCAGATTTCCACCAGGGTCAGCCCCTTTTTCTTGTCCACGTCAAACACAGCCTGTCAGGTTCAAATAACATACAAGTACTTTTTGAGCATTAAAGCACAGAGCAAGGAAATAAATATATTGTACACAATGTAGTGAAATATGTACTGTTTCCCAAGAAACAAAGGAAGCCATTATCAGTCAGCATCACTTAAATAAAGGATTCTGCAACATTCATCTGTACTTGAAGGAATATAAAGCATGAGACATGTTAATTCTGAGGGGAAAATACTATGTGTCTGCATAAAAGGAGGACTGTGCCTTCTGCCCCAGGCTGGTGAGAACTGGGAAGGGCAAGAGAAGGGGCAGAGACAACCCTTGCTGCGAGATAAACCCATCTGGAGACCATGACAGAGCAGGGAGGACAATGAGGCTGCGACCAGCAGTGAGGTACAGAGCGACTGGCCACTCAATCATCAGCAGAGAGCTGGAAATGTCTTTTCCAACATTTGTCGTACGTCCGTTTAATTACAGATACTAGCAGCTTCAGTTTTCAGAAAGTAGCAATGAGAGGATTTTTTGTTTTATTTGTAAAAGGAGGGCTGGGAGGAACTGGCTAAAGGGGCGAAGGCTGCCCTTGCTGATGTCTTCCCATGACACACTTTGCGCTTGCAAGGCTCTCGAGCACATCAAATAAAAACACCTGCAAAATGATGTGCACTTCACTTTAATGGTGCCTGCCACAGGGAGATGCGCAGGTCACAATTAGTTGCCAGGGAAACCATAAGGTCTAGACATTTCCATAGAGAAAGTCAGCAGAAAATGTCCAGTGAAGATTGAACTTGGAAGGAGAGTGGAGCCTTTAACTTAGCACGGAAACTCCACTCTTCTCCTTTGGGTATGTGACACGGATTTACAGGACTAAAAAGTGACAGGCAACCTAAATCTTAATGCAGAAGCTGGGGGGAAGGAACATCCACCCTAAGGATGCTAGCAGGCAAATGGTTTAAAATATATTCTAAGTGCTGTTACTTGTTTTTGTCATTGTCTTATCAAACAACCAGATCTGACCAGTGGCGACTCTTAAAGAAATTTCTCCAGGTGTTTATTTTCTATCTGTTCTTGTTCAGTCTCACTGTTTTGCACTTTACATTTGTATTGACTAGACAGTAGAAACTGCAAATAAACTTCCACATTTTCATTTATTTTCCCCTGCTTCRTGGAGAAAGACTTTAAATAACTGCAGTGAAGACCACAAGGAGAAAGCAAATCAGCACTTTGGACACATTCTACCTAATGCGACAGCGGGATCCCAGAGGGACTATCTTAGTCCTTAAATATGTAAACACTGACAAGGAGAGATGTTTGACTCAGTAACTCACCTGTCCTCTGCTGAGAATATCCACTAGCCTGCTTCAWGAGGCAGCAAGATCACATATGCTCATGAAATGGAGAGTAAATTGCTTCACAAATGAATTTCAAGTGAGGGCAAAAGAATTAAAGGTCTGGTTTAACTACAGGCCCTATTACAGCTTCTCTAAAGGAGTCTGAAACATCCGAAAGGAAGATCCCAGCAATCTGATGTACAAGTGTGACAGTTCCACGGGAAAACACGAGCTGTGACACAGCTCACAGCTGCACTGGAGAATTTACATCTCTCATGAAGCTTTTCAGAAACACACACTGCATAAATGCTGCTCATGCACGCAGTATTCTGAAGGTATTTAAGAATAGGGTCCARTATGTTAGATGGCACTGGTAAAAGCTTTAAAACGAAAAATATGAGCCCCTGGGCCTAGGGAATGGAACTCCCTTTGTTGGAACATATGCAGAACAGAGGCTGCACTGCAACTGAGCTCTAGTGCTTCTACTAAGGGGCATTTCTTAGGGAGGATGAAAGGACTGACAAGGATTCAGCCACTTACCTTCTCTGTAATGATGCGGTTTACACACTGCTTCCCAGTAAGTGGCAAATTGCATTTCTCCAGGATTTTATGGGCATTGCCCTGTGTTTAACAAGATATAAACAAACATTAATTTTCAAAAAACAATGCCACTTACTCAGCATTCAAATACGAGAACATAAGAAAAGGACACAGCTGAAAACACTCAGCCTTATTGAAACTCCGCAGGACTCAGCACACTGTTAGAATTCTTTATGGCAGATTATATTCACAAACAATTTGGGACAGTTCTTACTTAAATCCCACATAAAGTGTGAGGACTAGTAAGAATCTCYCGGTATCACCAAGTGGGTTTCGGGGTTTGGACGTTAGGGATACTTCTGCTGGGGATTTTCTTCTATCCTACTGGAATGGGAGACAGATGGAACATCACTGATGACATCTCAAGGGCAAATTAGAGAAAGGCAAAAAACATCCCAACATTCTACTTTCAGGCACTTCCTTCCTGGGACACAAAACTCGGCTGCACTGAATCCTTTGAGACGTGTCATCTAATGAAAAGGTGTCATTTTGAAGGGAAGCTTTTTCTTCTGCCTTTTTTCCTGCTTATTTTTCTTCTCTTTTTCTTCACAGATGGCTTTACATTCTGCCAAATCATAGTAGGTTGAAAGAGCTCTGAATGGGTACAAAATGGATGGATCACCGGATGGATCACTGCACTTTCAGTCACTATTTATAGGCATTTATAGGTGATTTATAGAGCTAGCATGAAGTGCACATCTTGCCCATTATCACATACTTTTCCTGTTTTTTCTCTAATTAATTTTCAGTTATGCATCCAAAGATCTCGGAGTGTAGTGAGTATACTTTAATCATCTGAATGCGTTTCTAAATTTATTTTGATTTACAATCATCAGCTTGCCTTAAGTTTTAATATAAACCGGGCAACCAATCCTCAGCCACTGATTCCCGAGTAACGCCAAAATGAGCAATCTGTGTGATTTTAAATTTATCTTCCGTGAAGAACTATTTCTTCATTCCAATTATGCCGCCAAGATCCACATCTCATATGAAGGCAGCTACCCTGATGAAAGGGAAACTGTCTCGCTCTTGGGGAARACGAGGACTTGGGACAGAGCATTACTTGCCATCAATCAGCTTTTATCATATCCACCCCAAGGACCTTCTTGCTCTCTTTTCCTAAGAGGGAAGATTAATCTGTGCTATTTTTAATGCCTTTGATAGGGTATGAGGTGTACAGGCAGGTGATGTCCAATATCCCTTCCTGGGACTGAGCCTGCACCACACGGACTCGAGCAGGGGACACTTCAATGGTCCCTGTGACCCCAAGCACTGACACATTCCAGCTTCTCAGCAGCTGATCTGAAGATTATTATATTACTATGTAGCACTAAAGGCAACTTTTACCCCTCATCTATCATGATCTGAGCATCCAGGGCACTGCCAGGATGGGAATGCAGATGGAAGTGTGTGCATTTTTACAGTCTACATACATAAAGGGCTCGCTCAGATAAATTCAGGGAAGATCGTTGTACATTAAAGTATTTCCCTTTGCTTTAAATAAAAATCCTTTGCTGAACAACAACAACAAAAATCCTTTATCTTCTGCAATGCATCAAAATCAAAAGTATTCACAATAATGGAAAAGAGTATTTCCTTGTTTCAGTCAGACATAAATCACATGTTTAAAAGGAGTTTCTATATTTCACAAAACGCAGCCATTCCCAGCCAGTACTTTTACTGTTTCTTGCCAAAAGGGCCAGGGTTGGTATGGGGTAAAAACTTTTTATTTCTCCTATAAATACAGAAGTTTATAGCAATATTTAGCAATTTGGGCACAGCATCTGTTCAGTACATTAAAAACCCTACTATTCTGCTTTACTACTGCTCTTTGCAAGTATTAAAAAAAAACTGGTAAAAAAGTATATCAAAGAATTACCATAATGGGTTAAGCTCAAGCATTTGCCAAGTTTCTCACTGTGGCCTAAAACTACGAAGCACAAATAGTACCACCCCTTGCACGAGAGTCCTCCTGGTCCCCAACCTGCTGTGATTTATGGATTTCCCGAGATGGAAGTCACCTCTGGACAATCCTATTTATTTGTCACTGATGAACCCGGCCTCATGAATCAGTTTAACCACTCCCAGATATATGTAATTCTTTGAGCTCCTACAACGATCCACAACTTCATTAGTTGCCTGTTCTGTTCTCAAGTTGCTCCTCGGCTCCCAACAGTTCCTTGCAAGGCAGTGACCAAACGCCCTGCACCCATCTTCTCATGTCCCTGCTKGACACATTTCTGTGCTGCCCTACCTCTATGATCTCTTTCTTAAGCCAAATTCTTCTACAAAAGGCATTTCATGTTATCAAGTTAAATATTAGCACTGCTATTGAAAGAATGTGAAGCAGAGGGTGTCTAGTTTTGTTTGTAATATACAGCAGAGTTTAAAAAAAGGGAAAATCCTTGGAGTAYTTCTTTAAGTGTTGCAAGATATTAGGTTCACCTTCATAACCGAAGCACGAGTCGTGTCTTACATTCACTGCAAGGATTCAACATCTTGTTACATTTAAAAACTGTCACGTGTATAGGGATCAGAGACTGCACTTGTAAATTCTAAGAAATTGTATTTTACAGTTTAACAAGCTATCACTRTTAACAAGAAGAAGCTTGAAAGGGATCAAAAGATCCATTATAAGATCACAGGTTGGACAAAACTGATAAGATCTACTGCAGTAACTCTGGAACATGATCATTGAAGGTACCGTACACATCCTATAGCCTTTCCAGACATTCCAGGCCATCAGCTCTTGAGGTTGATCTACAAGTGGCTTTAAATAAGAATTACCTAAAAATAGGTAATTATTTATTGGGAAAACAAAACAAACACCCATAAGAATAGAGCCAATTTATCCTCTAGCTTCTTATCCATACACCCCTGTGTCAGCCAGCGTGTTCTCACAGCACATGCAGACATTTCTTGCACTCAGTAGCACACTGTGCTCCTGAAGCATGTGCAAGACAAAAGATGTTTCTGAGATGCAGGCGCTGCTTCCTAGACACAGAGGAAATAACAGTTTGTGAGAAAAATCTTTGGAATAAAGAAATAAAAGGACCTGAATATAAAATCAGTTTTGCAAGTAGTAATCACTCCAATAAAAGGCTTCTGACTTTCAGAATTGGTKTTGCAGGTGCTCTAAATGTGTTTATGTACACCAAAAAGAAAAGGAAAAAAAAAAGGAAAAAAGAAAAAAAAAAGAAAAAAATCTCAAAACTGTAACAACAGCTTTTGATTTCTGAACAGAAGATTTACATATCTCAGCCTTTTCACTTCTGGAAGATTTACGAAGAAGTCACAGAAAAGAGCTCCAAGAATACCAGTAGCCTCCGTTTTTAACTAAGCATATAAGGAAAATTTTATTTTTTTACAGTGCTCTCTGACAAAATACAGGAGCAGAAGGGATACTATATGAAGGCACATACTAAGCTTTCAAGAAGTGTACACTGGCCATCCTTACACCTAATTACCCAAATTAGGTTTATAAACTTGAAAATAACTAAGCCTATGCCTGGAGTGTTTATAACAGTGAACCTATGTGTGTTTCCATTCCTCTCAGGTTTCACAGCACTCCTCCTGACAACAAGCAACGCTTGCAAGCACTTTARTGCAAAAACCCTTTGCTAATAATATTTCAAAGAGACAAAATGGCACCCAATGCTGCCCTGTGTGGGGACTCAGAGCCCAAACCGAGTTCCACAGTCTCTGGAAGGTAGAAAGCAAAATGAATTCACATGACAGCAATGCCTGAAGTGGGTGTCTCAGCAAATGGGTAACTGCACATCCAGTTTTTGGGGGGCTGTGGTAGAGCAGAAAGACACATAGATGAATTTGCATTTTTGCATGTGCTGTTGGGTCAGTCTCAGTCCTGTTACTGAAAAGCGGCCCCTTGAGACCACATCTCAGATAAAAATACAGAGGTTGCACTATTTAATAGGTTTTTTTTTTTTGAAAGTGAAAATTCATTCCTTAAATCAGATTTAAAAATAAAAATGTAACTGCTGTTATATTTAACTTTCACATTTTCTGCCATGAAAACTTCTTAAGCTTGCCCGATAATGTTCTGACAGGGATATAAAATCTTACACATACACAACTGATTCTTACATAATTAGTTCTTATTRCAGACATACAACAGATTTGGAATAACAGAAACATGTAAAGAGAACAAAAGGTTATTTTTTAACGGTCTATTCCAGTTCTCTCAGAAGACAGATCTGGTCCTTCACTCCATTTTTCTTATATTCTAGACAGCCTCGTTTTAGAAGTTTCAAATGAGAAGGCCCCTATGGTTTTCTGTGTGAGGTTGTTTATCTCTGCAAATCTCCCTGCAAAAAGTTCTCCAGACTAATTTCTATCACATAATAATAAAATATGTAAGGCAGTCTATATCATATGTCAAAAGGACCTATTTTATCAGACGGTCAGTTTCAATTTGACTGGCAACTTCAAAGATAAATATCTTTTCTTCATAGCAAGTTTTTAGCCATGGGAAACTTCATTTTTCCAATTTTCCTGAGCTAAAAAGCAAAAAGCCTAGGCAGCATTTACTGCAGCTCTGCTGACTGCCACTCTCACTGACTATAACTAAAAAAAAAAAATGTGTGCAGCCATTGAAGCTATTGAATACCAAATTCATATTCCATTTTTCCAGGGTGAATAGTTCACTTAGAAGAGGCAAGGAACCACACCAGCTCCCTCTTGGATCTTCATAATAGCAGAAGTGCCAAACCCTTGCAAGGAGGGGCAGTCAATGCAAGCTCTTTTCACCAGGACAGCACTAACTATCTGCTTTGGGGGAAGCAGCAGAGCGTTACCTTGGCCGAATGCTCCATGGTGACAACCACCTTGGTCTGYGCGCTGGATACGAGGTCCATGGCACCCCCCATGCCTTTCACCATCTTGCCCTGAAATGAAACATGTAAAAGGAGCTTAACGTTTTTACTGTGAACAAGACAGATCATACTGGCTGCACTGACAGGAAAATATGTTCATCTTCTTTYTGCACAGAAAGGCCACACATTTTACTACCGTATTTGGACCCAAACAGTTTCACTAGAGAAAATATTTGTCACATTCTAAGCTCTTTGTAATGCAAATAGTGGAAGAATAAGAATAGTGCATGGACCAGTTGACACGCTTGATGTTCCAGGGTTTAACTTAGATTTAAGTAGTACTACTGAGTTAATGGGAGCCCTAACAGAAGAAAGATGCATTTAGTTCCAGTGGTTTTGACATTACAGAAGCAAAGCATTCATTCTCATGGTGACAGAAATACCACTATTCCCTCCAAGGAATCTCTCCTTATGCAAACATAACAAAAACATCCAAGTGCTCTCAAACTCTCCACCTGCCAGTTTTGAAAACCACAGCTTGTATCACTGTATCAGCACAAACTGTTCTGCTTATTTCATTCCAGATGTCTTTGGATGTCATTTTGGAAGATAAATAAATGAATTTGGATCAGTATTTCACTTCTGTTTGTCCCTCAAAACAAGTAACATTTTCTGCTTTTGTGCCTCATCCTTCTTTAAAACAGTGACAAAATCGCACCTGTTACCACCGCAGCCTGGTGCTCCTCTGCTTTTTTATTCTCTGTAACGCTGCACCATTCATTGAAATTCTGCCCTGCCTGCTTCTGCCACCTTAAATAAAATGCATCTGATCTCTGGAGCTAAAAAGTCCAGACCTGGCACACTTCTTGGATAASAACTTTGTGCTTTTAGTCCTTTCTATCATGTTGAGCCTAGCAGGCATTTTGGGACAGCTGGCAAACACGAGACCCCCAAAATCAAGCTGGCTGACAACTTATCGTATGTCACTCCTGAGCTGTTGGGAGGAGAATTTCATGTTATTAGGGTGATAGGGAAGGTTAGAAGGAAGCCCGAGGCAAGGAATTTTACAGATTAAAAGAAACTAAAGTCTGTCTCACATATTTTATATTTTCTCTCTTTTAACTGACTGTTTTCTGGAATTTAAAATGTAACTTGTAAAGAAATATTTGGATGGCCATTTTACATACACAACCTAAAAGCATATGGTTAAATGACATGGAAATTTCCCCATGTAGAATATTTCTCTTACACTTCCTTTTGATTCCTATGTYATCCATTATCTTACTAGCAGCCATACAAGTGGTTTGTGATACAAACCTTATAGGAGAGTCTCCTTAAATTGTCAAGCCAGCAACTTACTGGAAATCTCTTTAGCATAATGAAGGGAAGACATATAGAAAAGGTTATTTTCTTATCGCTTGCAGAGTGAAGAATGAAACACCACTTTCTATATCTGTAAACTCACGTGGTATTTCCCAGATCTCACACTAGTATTAATCACTTGAAAGATTTCCGACTTTCGTCCTCACCCCYTCCCGAGTATTCCTTTGTAAATACAAACCCAAAGGGATGACAGGATTTAGCTCTGCACTTAATTTCCTGGCACTGCTCGGGTAACTCTGCATCCCATCCTGGAATACAGAGTCCTTGCAGAGGCTGCAGTGACCTCCCACTGGCAGGCAAAATAATGCAGAGTAGCTGAAGCTGAGGCACTAGCTTCTCATTAGCTCAAAATATGCTTGCATTGGGGATTATGCTATCMATATATCTTCCCTAATAATGTCATCAATTCATTTTCCAGGCTTTGTAATTCTGCTCAATAGTGAAGAGCTACAGCAGCTGGGAAATTCATGAAGAAATAAGTACAGTTGAAGGATAAAGAAAATCTGCTGCTGGAGATGTCACGCAGGACCRTGACAGGGAATTTCAACACTGCCTGTGCTCAGAAGCAATAAAATACAAGGTGAAAAGGACTTTGGGACAATCAAACCAATCCACCTGCTTCTCTTCTTTAGGTAAAGCAAGTTACTAAAGCCTTAACTAGCCACGTTTATGTTTTGAGGAATATCCCAAGAAGAGTTTCATGCAGCTCTCAGTGCATCTATTGATCTTAGAACTCTAAATCTGAATTAAGATACCCCACAAAAAAAATCCTCAAAAGACACTTGCTTTTTCGGTCTACAATATGCATGCAGAGCAAAACAGTTCTGCCACTTACAAACATTGCACACCTATGAGCAATGGGCAATTTCTATTTTTGTTAAATTTTAATAGTACATTTGATTGCACCTGACATAAGCCAGACTGTTTTATTTGAATACCTTGTAAAATGCATCGGGTCACACAAAGAAATATTGACTCTTCCTGGAAACCAACTGCAACAACCAGCTGTGATGTGAGATCGCTGATAAAAGCTAAGTAGGGCTCATAGTGGCAGGTACTAGTTGGGAYGGGAACTGTACATTTCACATTTTTAAAAGGTTTACATCTTTTTATGCTCATTTTAGTTGAGCTTTGTAAGCTCCCCACTACATTAGTGCTGCTAGCTTAAAAATTTGAAAACTTGAAAAACCAGGCACATGCTTTTGGGGAGTGAAACAGTAAGCTGATAATACGATGGTAGCGTTCATTCCAAGGCATTCCACAAAATGTCACTTTATATTCAAATAATATCACAGTGGAACCTAAATTTCAAAGGAGATTCTAGGTAACTGTGGGTCCTGACCTTCCTCATTGTTAAGCTACTACATTTTAAGCCCTACACTTAGGAATGTCCTAGACAGACAATTTAACATTAGTGCTGGCAGATGCATACACTCATTACACACAATTAACCTGCATGTTTGCTATTTATACAGAATTTAGTTGCCTAATCTGCAGTGCTTCAGTCATTATTTTACTGACAACTATATATATCAAAAAAAAAAAGGGAAATATTTCTCAGAAAATTTCTTGCTACTTTGTGCTGTTCAACTTGGGAGCAAGAACCAAACACAGACAGYTCAATGAACCCAGCGCGAGAGATGTTGGATGGAGACGCTTGGCAAACCGCGTGTTTGGGGTCAAAATGCAGACCAGCTTTGTTAAATATCCTCCCACATAAGCCAAGGTCTAAAAGCCTGTACTGGGACTCCTTAGAGAAGGAGCTGCAATGCTCTGAGCAATCGAGGGACAGGAACCCTTCTTCCCATCATCAGCAATGACCATGTCAAGTCAGAAAACGGGTTGCTTTGGAGCCCTCTGCTCTTAGAGCAGATGCTACAAATAAATAAAATAGATGAGCAACATTTTTGCATTCCCCCTGCAGTTCTGCTGGCCTCTGTCACAGGCCATTTGCATGGCAGGCTCACAAATGATTCAGTTGGTGAGTTTGCAGCTYATTTTGTGCTCAGTCCAGAGCTGTACAAAAAAACGTACATTGAATCCCTATAAAAAAATCTACCATTTAATGTACATAATTGTAATCCTAATGTCCTAGGTTATACTGACCTCTACAGATAGCAAATTAAAAGATTAATAAATGTGAATGGGTTTCCTCGTGGTTTCTTTTCAGATAATCTCTGATAAAGCTCTAGAATTTCTGGAATTCTTTCTTTCTATTCCATTTACTTCAGTATTAACACTTTAATCCTTGAAATTTGCCTACTCCAAGCCAGAACATTTAAAACTAAAGGCTCCTGGTTTGAAAACCCAAAGTTTGGGGGGTTTAATTCTTTGGGGGGGGGAGGGTCTCCCTAATCAATCCTCTTGCACGGTGGGTACTCCCCAGCATTGCTGCGCCAGCCACAGACACCAGCAGCAAAATAAAGCAAAGCTGTTCAGTACCTCAGCCTTTCCATGTCCTTTATCCCTCAGCCTTTCCATGTCCTTTATCCAGTAGTCTTTTACCTTCTCACTAATGATGTGCAAGCCACAATAGCCCTTCACTTTCATGGTATCTACATCTTGTCTTTTGTTCCTTCCTTTAGACTATGGAAAACTSTTTTCTCTGAGCTCTTTGGAGTAAGAGAAATTCTCTCATGCTAAAATTTTAAATAAAAGCAACAGTTAAAACAAAACAAGCAGAACTAATAACAAGGCAAAGCCTCTGGTGTCACAAGGGTGATTTTTAATGAAAAAATATCTATCAATAAATGCCTCTGTTTAAGAAGAATCTCCTGTAAGTAAACAAATAGCTTGGCTTCCTGCATATACTTTGAATATTGTCTCATTTATCTTCCTTTACTCACAGCACTTTCCTCTGTTAGAAATCAGCAGATAAGAGTGAAGAAAGTGCTGCAATTATTGCAGGGAACCTTCCTAGCTCCGTCTGCTTTTCAAGAATGAATGCTTTAGTTAAATAAAAGCTTTTGGCCGCAGTACAGATCCGTCTATGGTCAGATAAAATTACATGGATCTTTGACATTAAAATCTGTCCACTGATGAATCATGAATGCCTGTTTTCAGACATTTCAGCTCTGTGAAATATCACTGCATGTGTATTTTTTGCTAGATGATCAAGAATGCTGTCAAGCAGGGACCCCTATTTATCATTTGTTCACTTCTGTATTTTGAAGATGTTGCTCTTGCCTTTTCRATTTACAATGGCAACAATAGAGCAAACAAAGCAATTCTTCCTGCCTAGAGTTCAACGCACCTCCTTTTGCTTTCTGCCAAATCTCTCAGAAGGAGCTTGAGTAAGTAGAAGGCTATACTGAGCACAGGAACATTTAACTGAGCTTTTGCAGGACAAAGAAACAGGCCAAGAAGAAAATCACAAGGTAAGTAATCTTGACTATAAAGAACCATTTGCAATTCAGTTTATTAACTGACTTTCAGTTTGCAAAAGTATAAAGAAAATATTGGTCTTAAGACAGCTCAAATGAAGCACAGAATTATCTGGCAACTGAAACTTAGGAAGATGCATGGATTAGAAACATCTTCAATTGCRCCTGTAAGAATGCTTCTAAATACTGCTCACAAGTAAAGTAAATTATTAGCTGGGCTTATACTGTAATAAGTGAGTTATACTTTCTTCTAGTCTATCTTGAAAAATCAATTTCAACAAAGGATGCAAAAATTCAAAATCTTTTTTTCTAGTCATTATATAAATGAGTACTTAACTTCATGTTTGTGTAAGACATCACAGTCATGACAAGTTAAAGTAAGAAAGTGCTTTGACCAAAGCAAAGCTACTCACCAAGTAAAAGCAGAAAAGAGAAAAGAAGATCTTAAATTAATGTAAAGGAAAAAACACCCCACCGCGCTTCTCAGTGACCTATATCTGCACTATTGGACTAACAGTATATATTACTTAGATTTATTTCTATCCACYCTTTTGAAGAGCATAGTTTAATGAATATAACTTTTAAACAGTTACCTATTTATATCACACCTTTGAGAAGCATGGCCACTCTCATCTTTGCTCAAGCTCTTGCTCTTTTTAGGAAAYCCTAAGAGAGCTGCTGCTTTCTCATGAGAAAGCCCCAATCCTCAGCCCAAAACCACGCCAATKTAAAGACTTAAACCAAAAGGAATTAAAAATGCTAACCTGTATCATGTTTGCTTCCTCACACATTATGCTTAACACAAACATTATTTCAGAGGGCTGACTCTTAGCATTCGACTGCCTGCTTGCAACAATACCAAGAAATGCAGTGTAAACCTTAAAGCTGGAAACATCTCTCTTTTACTGCATAAAGCTTCACAAAGTCACTTTTGCTTCATCTCTTAGCTCCTTTGCCTGACTCTCAGCTACCAATACACCTGTATYATCCTAAACACAGTGCAGTGACAAGAACAAGTGTCTACTTACAGGAATCATCCAGTTGGCCAGGTCACCATACTTGGACACCTGCATAGCCCCAAGCATTGTCAGGTCAACATGGCCTCTGGTTGCAGAAGCAAAGTTTGTAATTAACATATTGTGTTCAAGTAGCAGTCCACAAATCTTTTACTTCACACTCTGATTATATCAATGTAAAAAATGGTGGTAACACCACAGAAGCAGAAGGCAGGTTTCACACCCGCAACTGTTTGTTTTTCCTAGATGTATCACTGATGCAAACTCTTCTGTTTGCCTACTGAGCTTCAAAATAATATTATTTTTGCCTGGTTTTGCTTAATTGCATGCAGAGTCAATCAGCTCTGAACTCATATTTTAAGTGCACTCCTTCATATATTTATATGTACTCATCATCTTTCCAGAGCCATTATGATTTAGTGTTTGTTTGCATCCAACCTCCTTCCCCAACAAAAAACAGGTGCAGATGGTGCATTTCCATTAGCAGCGTGGAATGAGGACTGCAGTTGCAGACTAAGCAACAAGACCATACAGTGTGCAAGGACAGATTAGATACTTGGAAATCACCAAAAAAGTATTTGTTAAAACATAGTTATCAATGTGTTTATATAAGGCCAGGTGGTRCAAGACATGAATATCAGTATGGTCTCTATTAGTTACAGAGTATTCCAATTTCCAATAGCCAGATCTAATTCTTTGTAAACTGTCACTGAGCAAGTCCATGATCATTTTACGGGTTGTTAGACACTGATCTCATTTTGAAGAATTACCAAAGAGCTCAGTCACTGCCTTAGTTTATCCCTTTCATGTTTCAAAGACTATATGTTTCTGTTGTTACTTACCCTCTTATCATGGCAAATGATTCATCACTAGAGAAATAGGAAGAGCCTGGAAGAACAGTGACTGTCTCTTTTCCTGTAAAAAAAATAAGCTATTGTTTGTACATGTTTTGTGTCTTCCATAAATGCAGTCACAGCTATTACAGTCATTAAGAAAAGATTTTTTTTTTTAATCTTAATTCCTGTAGATTTTGAACAACTATGGACCTGATCATACTTCCTAATCAATCACGATGAATTGTGGAGTAGTTTACATGACAGTTTTTATCACAGCCTTGCCTACAGTTCAACCACTAGCAGTCCCAGGCAAGACATCACTGAAGCCGAAGATTAGAAAAGCCCTTCAACTTTCTGTTCTATCCACAGGGAAAGTAAGGGGTAGAGATAGAAGGGTTGCAAGAAAGAGCAAGCGGACCAGATGCTACATGGTCTAACACAGTCTAGTGTCACAATGATATAAAAAACAGGAAAATAAAGGAGTGGACTAAAAGTGTCAATTATGTGCACAAAAAAAAAGAACCAACAAAAAAAAAAATCTGTTCTTTTGATGGTTCTTGGGTCAAGCAATAGAGCACAAAAAATTTCAGTYAGTGCTCACTGCATAAATCATCTGCAGGTGCCTAATTTTTAACTCCACCCAGAGCCCTCTGTTTCTTCTGCTGCCAATTCTTTGAATTGGTCAGAGCAACAACCATGGGTGAAATGAGCAGCCAGTCATGAAAAACTGGAGATAAAGATACTGTAAAGCAAAGGTGACATTGAGAAAGAAAAAATGCTCCTGCTCTGACTACAGCTCCCTCTCCAAAGATATAACTGGGTATTACTTACCTAAATCACTACTTTGGAAGAATTTAACCACTTTGAAAGMTGTTTCCTAGACCTGAGTCGCTACAAAAACATCTTCTAGAAAACACACAGTATGAGAAGCAGATGGAAAAAAATCCACATACCCCTCACAAAACGATCTCACTTCTGAGAAGTTTGATGCTGTACTGGCCTAGGCTGTGAAAGTTTCCTAGAGTAGCTACTAACACGTACCTAGGCATAATCTCTAACCAGATATGAAATACCTATATTGACGAAAACAAACTATTGTTTCAAACACTAAAGGTAGTCAAATATATTAACACATTTATTTGTAACTTAACAGATTGGAAGTCTGGTTCAAATACTGAGTCCAAAGAAGAATTCTACAGTTACAGTGAATAAATGTTTCCCATAAATGAAAATTATTTAAAAGATTTTACCTGCATTAATCAGGTCTGGATCCACTTCATTTTCAAGTGGATAAGGACCCTGACAACAAAACAGACATATGTCAGCTCCATATTAAAATACCTTTGAGATACAATTCATAACTGCTTCATTGTTTCTAATGCCTATTCCTGAAGGCAGATCATAACCAACTTGCAGCTTTGAGTTGGGGKTTTTTTTGTTTGTTTGTTTGTTTTCCCTTTCTGGCACAACACTACCCTATGTATACAAGTCAAAATTATTAACTAACCTATCAGGACTGATGAAGATATTACTGCTGGCTGTTAGAATTATTAAATARCCACGGAGTTGTTTTCACAAAATGACAAGTATTTTCAGGGAGAGGTACGCAAATGTAATTTAATAAAGTTTTTTTATCACAGTGGAAGTAATGTTTATTTTAATTTTTAAGTAACTTATGTTTAATAAGCTACCTTACAATGCCTGGTCTTAAAAACTAGAGAATATTCCAACCCCGSTAAAAAAACATATTAAGAGTGTGTTTAATTTTAAGAAAATAACACCATAACCCTGAAACAAGCACTTCCACAAAGACTCCCTCACACTACATTACAGAATCATGTAACATTTGCTTGCTCTTTGAGCAGGCTTTTCAGCACACGGACTATAAGCTATAACGAAGGTGGTGGGGAGATGAAAACTCAGCAGCAGAGCAGAGTGTGTGCCCTGCAGTCAATCACCAGCGACAGCGACACGTTCTTACCAAACCCAGGACTCCATTTTCACTCTGCAAGTGCACGGTTATATCCGGACTGATGAAGTTACTGGCCAACAGCGGGATTCCAATCCCCAGATTCGCTGAGTGAATTGGTCAAGGCAAACAGGGAAGACAGTTACTGCAAACTGGTAATGGACAAAGTCACCATTACACTACAGTTAGACTAGACGTGCTCTCTTCACATTGTATTTTTGTRTTTTTCAGTTAGATGCCTCACTTTGTACTGAATTACTTTGGCATTTGGATTGCCTACCTGCATTCTGCCAAATGCTTCACATGCTAAAMACAGTCCAAGTAATCTTCTTTTCTCGTGTCGTTTTTCAAGACATACTTATGAAACATTCAACTGCTAACAAACACTCTGGAAGCCCCAGAGTAAGGCTTCCAGGTTCTATGCATGTTAACATCCCATTTCAATAGGACATTAATAAAATGGTATAAATCCATGTGCTAGGCAACACAAAGAACACACACAAAAATCAGCTCACTTTAGACAGAACAGCTGTGGCTGCTATATGGAACCACTACAGCTTTAACCTATAGCACATCCAGAGGATACCATACATGCCATCCTCAAACTCCAAAGCTGCTCGTCTGATGATCCTCTCCCTCACGTTGTCTCCTTGTTTCTGTTTGGCTTTTGAGTCTTCAGGCTTTCGGATTGATAAGCGCTGCAAGAGAAAGTAAAAATAATCATAAGCAAATATTGGCATCCAAACTCTTGCTTCCTAGACATGAAAGCCAAATTTACGATTGTTCTGAGATACCTGGGCTAAGAATAAGGCTAACAATCTGACTCTTAAAAAAACAACCTTTCTTTCTCCAGCTCAGTCCTATCTAAATCAATGGAGTCACCAAGTATCCCAATGACAGCCTGAGAGGAAAGTTATTTCTTTGTCTGCGTTGCCAAAGCTGAGTGGATAAATGATACTCAGACACAGCTAGTTATATAGAGGATATTATATATCAAAATATATTATATTATAGAAGAGAGAAAGAGCATCAGGCATTAGTGCAGATACTAACAAGTCTGAGATTCATTTCTTCATAAATAACTACATTTTTAAAATGTTGGACTAAAATGCAGRATAAATCAGATAAATGTAGATACTGCCCTCTCTCTGCATTTATTCAGCTCAATGGTGCTAATCTAGATCTAYGTGCATGAGACACATGTATATGACACCAGTCATGTAAAGAGCTAAACAACTAAGTTTCAAATACACTTTTACATAAATCTTTCCAAAAGACATTCCCTGTGATTTCCTGTCCTCAAGCTGATGCTTTCCAAATCACGTATCAGTGAAAATGCCACATCCGAAGAGTTCATAAAACCTTTTTCTAAGTGATGGTGTACATGGATTCTCCTCTTTGTGCCTTTCTCACATGCACTGCTTCAGACTGTTTTGGGCCACATCAGGTTGCATGTCCCATATGTCTTCACATTCCCTGCTACACCCCAGGTCATCAAGAACAAACTAGGCAAGATCATCCCCTGTTCCTTTTCACCATCGTGCAACAACCTTTTCAGTGCCTTTTTCTTCTTATATTGGGAGCCCATTTCCTTATGGACAGTCACAGATGAACACTGTCAGATCTCAAAGTCTTCAGCAATTTAACCTCTACATCACTTGCCAGTGATCACTACCTCTACAGAAGGTGTTACATTGACTCAACCAATAAGAAAAACTCAGACTTCCATCCTTTCGTCATGGATTTCCCTCATGCAGCTTTTTATAAAGAGGAATTTTGCCCACAGCTGTCACACAGCTCCACACAAACCAGCGTGTTCATATGAGTTTTCTCTGCCTTCAGGTCAGGAAGCATTGCTCCATGCACTTTAAGGAATAAGGACATCAGCATGTTACCTTAATAGTACACTRTCATGCAGGATTACCTTCAGCTGCCGCTTTTGTAGACAAGGTTATGGATAGCCAATATCCTTGCAGATATCATAAGTGAATCTTCAGCTTCTAAGAATGAGTTACAAGCTGTTCAAATTAAATCCTTTTAGCCACCTTAGCATTTATTCAACTAGAATTTAAGGAGCTAATGATTGTTTAGGGACATATATATTTATATGTGTATATATATATATATACCAACACATACACATACATAAAAACATATAAGATAGCTATGCACAGAGAGGTTTAGCACATTTAGAAGATATTTCTATACTGGAAATTAGAATGCCTGCTATGAGAAGGCAGTTATCAACCATACAGTAACATCAAGTCTTCAGGATGTGCCATCTCCATGGCCCTGGTGACCCTTATTCTCAACATCTGGCAGCTACTCCCTGCGACTTCTGAATCAGCTCCAAATATCCACCCTTTCTGCTGTACATGGAAAACTACAAGGACAAACTGCAGACAGTCTCCTGACAATTGAGCCAAATTATTTACTTTGTGTGAATTGTTGCGTGTATTCTAGGAGCAGAACTCTAACGGACAAGAATTCTTGAAAGAAAAGAGCAATTATTCTTTTTTTCCAACTTGAAATACTAAGGTTCTTGACCCATTTGAAAGAGGTTCTTCTCCCRCACTGCAAACTTCTAATTGTTTTCTACTTAGTATTCTAATGCATAGATTGGTTTTTATATGAAAGCTGGAGTATCTTCAAAACCTCTGAACAATTTTATAAGGGTAAACTAATCAGAATTACAGGAATTGTACAAAAGACAGAATTTATTAATTTAATTCTTATAAAAGCTATCCTACAGACCCTATTAGATAATACCGTTTTCACAATGGAATACCAAAAAAAAAAAAAAAATCTGAAAAGCCATCCCTGCGTTTGAGATCTTAAAGTCTTCTTCATAGGCACTGTTCAGATTACTCCTTTGAGAAAATCTTTGCCACAAAAATATTTTCTGGAATTTTGTTTGCCGCTTTTGAAGCCAATGAGTTTGTGCTGAAGAGATGCTTCCTTAAAGAACAGAGGCCAGCTGCAGAAAACTGAATTAAATAAGATTCATATTTAGATAAAATTTATAATTGTATTTCCCTTTTCCCACCTACTTGAAATTTCATTGTACTGATTTTTTTGTGTGTTTTGTCTATTTTCTCTATAATTGCTTCACTTGACAGTTATGTAAAAGTAAGAAGGACTACAGAGGATTTCTCTGCAGCAAATGGAAGGTTGAACAGGAAACAGGACACAGGCACTTCCACTAGAGGGACCAAGTCTGAGTCCAATTAGGCAGGAAATGCTATTTAAAACCAGTAAGAATTATGACAAACTATMTTCTACTTATTCCTCATTTCCTATCCTTTACCAGTTATCATAATCTATGCTTTTCTAATGTACAGCCTCTTTCCTCACATATAAGCAAATCACTGAATCTGCCATTTCCTCCCTTTACTTCCATTTATGAGTGCACCACTGCTGGATTACACAATTCCAGGGACAAAGTTAATCTCTGATGCAACTTTGCTGTGCAGTTTATAARAGCTCTCTTCTTTCTGTCTCTCACGTCCTTATAAGTGTATAAAAGGGATCAGTTAACATCAGGGAAGTCCCCGCTTACGCAGATAAGTCAAAGAAAATCACAGATAACAGATGATCTCTAGAGGTCCCTTCCAACCTCAACCATTCTGTGATTCTGTGAACGTATGTATTTTTGTATAGAGGCATTTCCTGGAGACTCACCTATTTATGCAGTGTCAAGCTGCAATAAGAGCAGCAGTTCAATAAATGTGAAATGGTTTTCTTCCATGAAAGGATTTTTAATGCAGTTATTGCATCAATTCAAAAGGAAGGGTCTCACACAACATGTGCAAAGAATAAAAAAGAGGTCTGATGCATCTTTTTCCAGATTGGCACTCAACGAGGCAATATGTTTTTGCAGGATGAGCAGATGGAAGAGGAAGGGAGGAAAGGAAAGAAAGAAAGAAAAAAAAACCTTTATAACCTCACACTCCCAATATGACTTGGGAGTGTAATTACTACAATTTCTTTCTTCTAAAGATTTTTCCCTTATATTATTCCTCCTCTCCACTAGTTCTTTTAATGCCATTTTGAATAATTTCTACCTCCAGAGTATGGAGACATTGGAGAAATACAGAATTTTCAATTGCAATTTAAGTACATTGTCACATAACCAAAATGAGCATTGGGACATTGCTTGAGGGAGGCAAAGCAACAGAGAAAAAAAAAAAAAAGAAAGAAAATACATAATCATCAATTTCTTGGATTTTTTCAGCATTGGAATATTACTGCTGCAATTTTTAATATCCATTTTCATCTTGCATTTAGACCAGAAATGCCACTGATAAAAAAGAAAAAAGTTCTTTGTTAAAGAACAGGACTCGATGACCTTGAAGGTCTTTTCCAAACATATTAACTCTATGACCTTTACAATGCATGTCAGTACATGGCACAAACAGGACTGAGATGGGCCCTGCCCATCTCAAAAGCTGGGAGCAGTTGAGGAGAAGGTATCTGGCAGGGTCAGTTCTCAGTGCAGACATTCCTCACAGTGTCTACAGAGGGTGAGCAGGGAGAAGGAGGGAGTATGGATTTCCCGTCAACAAATTTCCAGCTCTTATGAAGTCTTTTAAAACCATAGGCAGCTACTCTAACRAATTCAAGATCCCAACCAGCGAGGCTGAGGCTTGACACACAAGCCTTATTTGTCAACCCCCACTATTGACCTACTATTCTCCAATACTTAATGATGCTTGGCAGCTCTTTTTCATGCTGCTTCCTTACCACTAACACTTAGTGGAGAGAAATCTGTAAACAAACAGAAAACCCTGAAATATGTTGTTACCTAAAAGGTGAACTACTTACTTCAATTCTCTTCTCAAACTTCTCTCCCTGAATCAGACGGTCAACATAGATTTTGGGCACATGGATGTCTTCTGGCGCAAATGCTCCTATATCAACAATTTCTTCCACCTACAAAGAAAGAAGAGAAAAAGAAAATATTTACTGATTCAACGGTTTTATTGGCCATGAAAACTCAAATAKTAAATATACAATGGATCAAGTCCACTGTAAAGAAGATGCAAATAATGGGGTAAAATAGAAACATCTGAAATATCATGTAAAATAGGCTCTTTTAGATCCTTACATTTCTTCTCTCACATGCAGCAAACTGCAGCTGACTTTTGTTTGCTTGTTTTTTCGTTCAGTTCAAGGCTATTCCTATATATAAATTCAAAGAAGTTGATGTTCTAACAGCCCAAATTATATAAAACCACCTTAGAGAAATATACTATGGGTACTGACATCAGAGGTCTTTGTAAATATAATTAGTTTACATGTAAACAGGAGGAAACAACACACTGCTGGCAAGAAGCCAGAGTACAAACAAGAAGCACAGATTTTAACCCTACAAACGCAGGAGCTGCAGTGAGTTATACTGTATTGTACCACACTCAGTGATAATGCTGAAAACATGTGAAAGGCAATGATTAATGGTAAGCAAAATAGGATCTATAGTGAAACAGAGATACGGCTCAAAATGGAAAATTAAAAATGGAAATGGAAAATGCAAAGCAAATTAATAAGTAATAATATATATTGTAATTAAAATATATATTTAATATACAATATATCAATATATTAATATTTATTTATATTTTAGTTATACTTTATTGATTTTTATATATGAATGTTATTTTTATATATAAATGTAATAAATAAATGTAATAAAATGTATAACATGTTATTATAATGATATAATAATATATTATTTTTATATATATATATATGATAAATATAATAAATAATGCTAAGCAAATAATGTCTGAAAAAAATCTACTCAACAGAAAATCAAACGRCTTTGAACTATGTTATCAGGAACTAGTTAGGTTTTTAGAAATACTTAAAAAGAAGCTTAGGAACCCAAAAGGACACAGAATACAGTGTCTCAGTAGGGCTGCATCACTTAGCAGCCATTGGCAGTGAAGCAACACTAAACTTAAAATCCTATTTGACATCCTATTGCTATTGCACAATGTGTGATCGATAATAAAATCCATAGTACATCTGATGGACAATTACCTTCCTCCTGTGCCTTGCAGTGACAATAAATAAACAAAGCAACCCACCACAAAAAGCAGCAGAGGGCAAAATTAACAAACAAATGATCATTGGATCAGTCCCAGTTGATCCCGAAAGGAACCATGGAGTAARCACACAGGGAAAGACAAGAGGCAGGTCCTCTAAAGAAGGTTGTGAGGAAGGGAATACAGCAACCACAGGGACAGGAGCCACAAKCGTCACTAATATCAATATTACGCACCCATACAGTGAAAAGCTGTGAGAATTTCTACAAAATAGAGAGTCAATCAATTTAGGATTATAAAAATTCAAAACATTTCATGCAGGAAAAAGTGGTACAGTGCATTAAAGCCCTATCTCACTAACCTGGCTACTATTAGTAGCTAAGGCTGCTACTATTTTATACATGAATATACAAGTGGAGATCAAGTCAAACTTAGCATAAGTGAAGACGCCCTGATGTGCACAAGGATGTTCCCCAAGCGCTCACTACTGCCAGAGCAAGATCTAAAGGCAGGAAAAGGCTCTTCCATTAAGCCATATACAAGCAGATGATCTGCTACCAGTTCAATTCCCAAACTCACCTTTTCTAATTAGTATTTGTCTTCATTTATCAGGTGAAAAATGAGGTCTTGGGAATACTAATTGCTAATGATTTGAGTCTTGTTGTAAAAGAATTACTTTAATCTGCTTCAGTAGCTGCTATTATAAAACCAAAATCCTTGCTGGCAGAGCTCAGCTGACTTWACAGAATTATGCTGTCAGAAAGCTTGACACACTGTGTTCTCCCCCCCCTCCTTACAACACACAGAATAAATAATTTAACAAACAATACCACGTTTTATGATTTATCACCCCCATCCCCTAATTGTTCAGAATTTTAGCTTCTGGAAACAGCAATCAGCATGATACCTTTTCTTCATAAGAACCGCCAACACATTTATTTTCCCAGTATGATGTCCTAAATAAGTATGTGTCTATGGAGACAAACAAAACATATTTTATTCTGGGGATTTTGAGAGCACCCAGGACRCTTAGATACTGAAACATCTCCACGTTCACAGGCAGTCCCCAAACACTCTTGGTTTCTGCCGCTGCTTTGCAATTTCCACATTCTACCATTATGAAACAAGTACCAACTATAAWTAAAATTAAACAGATTGGAAAGGTCCTTAAAGCAGTAAAATGGATTTTTGAAAAGGCATTATAAATTTACTTGTAAYGTTTGCAAGAATGTATATCACCCAGGACTGCAAGCAAGACGGGGCCTGAGGGAACTGAACTTYGTACACGGCACTGCTGCGACCACCGCCACACACCGTCCAAGCATCTCTCCAGGTAAGAATGACAACCCCAAAATAATAGTTTCATAACTGGGAACATCCAGTCTCCTTGCAGGTGAGTCTCTTCTTTAAGGCCTGCCCTATCTAAGCATCAATCTCCTGTAAACAGCTAGGAAATCATTTACATGAACAGCTAGGACACTGTGCATCAGTTTCACAATTTCTTTTCTTCCTGCTCTATTCTTCATTTTACTTATCCTTCCGTTCCTTCTTTCCCTGATTCACCTTGCCTCAGGCTTTACTTTGTCATGTACAGAAGAATCCCTGTAAATATCAATCATCATCATCCGACAAACTGCCTGGGAGACACACCATGAAGTCTGGCAGTGTGTACAGCGGGAAGCAAGCAGGGCAGAGAACCTCCTGGATTTTGTTTTTTAATTAGTGAGTGAAAATATTTTCCTATCATTTAGACTGCCTTGATCACATGTGATCATTTTAAATCTCACCTTCACCCACAAAGTGGCAGGAAATAGAGAAGGTTTGTACCTCTCTGCTAAMCAGATAAAGCTCAAAAGTAACTCGGAGAGGATGCACAGGCCGTGGTTCCTCTCTCTGGAAGGCTCTGACTCCTGATGTGAGAAAATCCTTTTGTTGTTTCTAGAGCTTCACAGTACCAGTTTTCTTCCTCTATGCAAGCATCCTTGTAAAGATGCCTAGCTAGCAAAGGCCTGCAAACAATGAGGGCAGAATGAATGAATTCAATCATTTCTGAATACTGGTTTATCTGCAATCCACCCAAAACACAAAAGCTGCTCTGCTGTGATTCACAAGAGCCTTCTGCTATTCCTTTACGTATCAGCAGTCACAGAATCAATGGTCACTTGTTTCAAAATATCACTTCCTTCTGTAATTTACATCCAATCTTCCCTTTTTAAGCAAGCAGTTTATTTTTGCTTATGGAAATTCAGCTTATTCTCCTAAAGTTTTACTTCAGAATTTACAAAAGCTTTTAGAGAGGGAAATTGAACCTGAAAGATTATGAACTTCCAATAAGGTAATGAGCACTTGACCAAATATAGGCAAGGGAATGGTAATGTCACACTAACCCACACCAAAACACTTAACAGGAATTACAAAAAGGGCTTTGAATATTTCACTTTTCACTTATTTTTGCAGCCTAATTATGTGTTCTAATCAGAGAAATGCTCTCAGATACTTTACTCATAAGCCTCAGTTTCCACACAAGTAAACTATAAGCTAACGACAGTACAATTCTTTAATATGGGAAGAAAAACACAAGAGACTTAAAAGACAAGGTGGTACTTCTGGAGATACTCCTCATGCTGCTAGAAGCTGTAAACGTTCTCACAATAAGGACTTAATTCAGGAGGTGATCACTTCCAAAATCCTCTTTAAAATCTGCCTGTTTGGATATGTCACCAATGAACACATCCAGGTTATAATCAAGTACCTTTTGCAGCTCGCACTCCCCTGATAAAATGAGGTGATTTCATAGTGTTCAATACTTAATTTTACTTTGCTCAACTAGCAGCGCAACAGAAACTGGCACATAATTATGTTATCACCTATTAATTAGCAAGCACACAATTTGTGTTCAGTACTTAAAACAAAATGAAAAATAACCATCTACACTCAATAGTTACAAAAACACTTTCTCCTGGCCTGGAAGGCAATTTTGGAAAATAGATTTTAGCTTATATTACATAATTATTTTACAAATAACCAACATAATAGGCCAGGAGCGGGGAGGCAGGGAGGCACAAACAGAAAACCCACAATCCACCAACAAATTCCTTATTCATTAAATGCCAACTAATGGCAAAAAGAATCCACTTAATCTGTACCAGGTGCACATGCCAATTAATGCCAAGCAGGCCCTATCCCTATAGAACAGCTGCTCACAATATCAACTATTAAAATGACACAATTTAACATTTTTGCAAATAAAAGTTTTGTTGCTTTAATAAGCAGTGAGGGACTGGAATTACTTATTTGCAAAACAGATTGAAAACCTCTGAACTGATTAGACAGCAAAAATAATTAACTGTCTCTTTTATTAAAATAATTCATAAATTATCAGGAGGAACAGAAACCTGAACAAGTAGACTTGTATTTTCTTACTCAGAGGAATGGCAAGTRATGAGAGACTGAAGGGGATCTCTCATCTCCTGCACCTTCAAAGGAATATAACTCAAAGGTCAGGAGATAAATTTAAGGTTTACTTTCAAAAGTGATATGAAAGTAATTTTAATTGCTGAAGGAAGATTTTTAATCTTCCAAAATATCTTTTAAAGCTGAAACTGACACAAATGTATCAAAACTAAACCCTCATTGAAGGAAAAAGTATTGTTTATCAGAACCTAATAAAAAAAATCTYCTTTATTAGCTTCCAAAAGCTGTGAAGAATTGTCTTTAGCAAATCTGATATTCAAAGTCATAACAAGTATTGTGTGTAACCTCTCAGTCACACCAAGCTTTCTATTCTGTTGAGGAAATAATAGCTGAAGCACAAGAAACTAATACAATCCCTAAGAAATCCTTCCTCCGTCTCCAGCAAAAATAGAAAAGCATTAATCTGAGGTA